TGCCTTTGATCGGAATCCAACCCAGGACCCTTCAGTCTGCAGGCTGATGCTCTATCCACTGAACCAAACTGGCTAGGGCTGATTCCTTTCTTTTTGATGAGGAGTTTCAATACATCCTGATTTTTATAAGAAAACTATCCAATTAGACAAATTAATATATAGTCATTAGAGATTTTATTATTTGATTTGTAGGCTTAGCTCTAGGGGGCAATATAATTTAACAATATGTTTAATTTTTGTGTGATTTTTAGATTTTAAATTGTTTTTCATTTCCACCTAATATTCGAACATACAGTTGAAAAAATTGTACTTAACATCAGCCAGCCCACCACCTAGGTTTTACCATTAACATTTCATTTTGCTGATTTTGGCACATATCTGTCCACCAACTTATCCCACTTTGCTTTCATTCATCCATCTTGTTATTGACATACTTCAAGTTAAATTGCAGATAGCAGTACATGTCTTCTTGAATACTTTAGCATCTATGCTATTAACTAGAGTTCAATGTTTATTTATTGTTTTTTCCCCCAAGGTATAATTTACATACATTGAAGTAGACAAACCCCAGCATTATTTGCTGCACTTGATAAGTGCATACATTTGTGTAACCCAAACCCCTATCAAGGTGTAGAGAATAATCATTACTTTTGAAAGAGCCTTCCTGCCCCTTTCCAGTCAATCATGCTGAATTTCCTCTTCCCCCTGCCAAAGACATGCCCACTGTTTTCTTTTTTCCAATTCAGTGCCTTTAAAAAATTAGTGAGAATAAACAAACAGAATACAAAATATGAGGACAGGCAGTAGGCATAGTTTTAACTGATGAGAATCATAGCTTAAGCCAGTCAAACTTCCTACCTATCCTTTATTTTCAATTAAATGCAATGTTCAACCAATTTCCAGAAACCTGCCCAGCATGTAGCTCTCTGGCTAGAAAGGCAAAACCAATCATTGCATGGCCTGGTCTTGAACCCTCAGTGATTTGGGAGTGGACAGAAGATGGATTGTGCTCAAAGCCCACTGCTGAACACTTATAGGGAATACCTGATGATTGTTCCAGCCAAATAGAAGTGTCTGACCTTTATTATCTTCTCAGAGGCTGAAATTGGGATCTTAAGGTGAAATCCAGTTGTAAACTTACTTTTAATTTATTTGGATCATGAATTGAAAAATGTTTTCTTGCCTTAGCCTGTTTGGCTCAGTGGATAGAGCATTGGCCTGCGGACTGAAGGTTCTGGGTTCTATTCCTGTCAAAGGCACATGTATAGGCTGCAGGCTTGATCCCCAATAGGGGGCATGCAGGATTCTCTCTCATCATTTATGTTTTTTTAAAAAATATATATTTTATTGATTTTTTACAGAAAGGGAGAGAGATAGAAAGTTAGAAATATCGATGAGAAAGAAACATCGATCAGCTGCCTTCTGCACAACCCCTACTGGGGATGTGCTCGCAACCAAGGTACTTGCCCTTGACCAGAATCGAACCCAGGACCTTTCAATCTGCAGGCCGACGCTCTATCCAGAGCCAAACCAGTTTTGGCAATGTTTTTTCTCTCTCAATCTCTCTTTCTCTCTTTCTCTCTCTCTCTCTCTCTCTCTCTCTCTCTCTCTCTCTCTCTCTCTCTCCCTCCCTCCCTCCCTCCCTCCCTCCCTCTCTCCCTCCCTCCCTCCCTCCCTCCCTCCCTCCCTCCCTCCCTCTCCCTTACTCTCTGAAATCAATAAAAAATAATTTTTTTTAAAAAAAGAAAAATGTCTTCTTAATCTAACCTTTGAGACAGATGTACCAGCAAGAACCAGCAAGCTAGATTTCTAAACAGAGGTGCTCTAAGGGGAAATAAAGATGTTACTCTCCTCTCCATCCTCTGTCAGGACAGGACATTGATCTTGCCATCAATTACTCATGTCAATGGTCTTAACCTGTTATTCCCATCCTCTAGTCACTAGAGTCTAGTGGGAAGGAAAGTAACTACATGACAGAGCCAAGAATTTTAAGCTCATTTGGGGATTTTCCTAAGGAGCTCTTATAAATGTGAATTTTCTGGTTACTGATTCACATTACCTAATTGCCTTTCCTTCTCCCCAAAGATTATGCCAATTGCTATTAGTATTATTAAAAAAGCTATAGTTCTTTTATGCCATTCATTTTTTTTTTGAACCATTTGTGAAATTAGGTAAGGCTGCCATAACAAAGTATCACAGACTGGGTGGGTTAAACAACAGAAATTCATCTTCTCACAGACCTGAAGGCTGGAAGTCTGGAGTAAAGGTGTAGATGGGGCTGGTATCTTCTGAGGCCTCTCTCCTTGTAGATGGCCTCTTTTCCCTGGGTCCTCACCAGTCTTCCCTCTGTGTGTTTGTCTGTGTCTCAGTCTTCTTACAAGAACATCAGTCTTATTGGAATGAGGTCCACTTATATGAGCTCATTTTACCTCAATTATCTCTTTAAAGGCCTTATTTCCAAATATAAGAACTTTCTGAGGCATTGGGAGTTAGGATGTCCACATACAAATATTTGGGGAATACAGCTCAGTCTATAACAAACCATACAATACTTAAGGGAAAAAAAAAAACTTCATAAAACCATAAGAAAAATATGAGCAAAGCAAAAATATGAAAATGTAAAAAATCTCATAACTTTATCAGTTTGGTGCCTGGAGGAGCTACCACCAGTAAATCAAGGTCCTTTCTCATTTTGCCCAAATGCAGACCTCATTGATGGTTCTTTTTCCTGACTCTTATCCAGCAGTTTACAATGCAAACATCAGTTGTTTTTTTAAAGTGTGTATATATATATATATATATATATATATATATATATATATATATATTATTGATTTCAGAGAAGAAGGGTGAGGAAGAGAATGATAGAAACATCAGTGATGAGGGAGAATCATCGATTGGCTGCCTCTTTCAAGCTCCCTACTGAGGATTGAGTCTGCAACCCAGGCATGTGCCATGACGGAATTGAACCATGACCTCCTGGTTCATAGGTGAACACTCAACTACTGAGCTACTCCAGCCGAACTGGGTTTTGTCACAAACCCAGCGTTAGGTATTACTAAATAAAAAAATCCAAATTAATTATTTATCACTTTTTAATTTTCCTGAATGAATGTCCTAGGTTGAATGCTTTCCTTAAGTTTATCTGTTATATATTTTTTTCTTATTTAGGTTTATTTAACTACATTGGGTTTTTCTTACTTTATTAAATTCTGTTTGAACAAACTTAAGTGTAACCTATACATAGTGGAAAACTATATGTTTAAGAAAATGTTTTTCTGGTAGTTGCCTAATCTGTACTATTGCCTCTAGGATTTCTAGTAAAGAATCAGTAAGTTTCTATTAAAGAAATACATATACTGCGGAAAGGGGGCTTATAGCACTTTACATAAACTGTGAATATGTCAATTGTCCACATCAAAGAATGGAGTTGGATTTGGGACCAAAAATAAGAAATGAGAACACACACAACAGTGACATTTAGACAATAGGAACTGATTGGGAACCCTACTGGCAGGTACTGGAATAAAGTGTCAGAAAATTGTTCAGATTGAACTATTTGGCATCTGGGTATCCTGCAACTGGAGCTCAGCGATGACAGGCTCCTTCATTTGGCTCATTTGCTAGCAAACTAAGGGGTTCCTGATGTCTTTTTCCAGGATGCCAAAGTGTGGAAATGCAAGGTGTGTGTAACTCTATTTTTCTGCATCCATCTTTTTTAATCTTTGGCAAGCTGTGTTGATGTTTTGAAAGAAGAATTTCACTTGATTACTGATGGTAGCTCCTCCAGGCACTAAAAAGTAAACCCCAAAGAAAAGAAAGCCATCTACCCATCTTTACCAACAGGGGAGACTAGTAGGGAGCTAGGGTTCTCCTTATCTTTTGTCGTGTGTTATATCTCTTCTATGAGCACCAGGCAGATGATGAAGATAGAAAATTTAGTCTGTACTCTATGCTGAACAGTCTGAATGGGAAACTTCCCTTTCTGATTCTGGGAAAATCTCCCCTTGAAGGAGGCCACATTTAGGATTCTAACCCCAGAACCAACAAAAGCAAGGTGGGCTACTGACTCCTTGGATGGGGATTTGGCCACTTTTATAATGACTTGGATTTGGACATGTTGTTCAGTCAGCCAAACCCTCTGAGGAGAGTGGCAGGTGAGAATGTAAAGGCTCTCCACTTAAGGACACCTACCTACTCTCGCCTTCAATTTGTCTTTATTGCTTCTATCTGTAGCCGCTGCCAGCATGTGAGCAATGAAGCTGATGGCTGAGGTTGGGTTTGGAACAAGAAAGCGGGCTCTTTTGATTGAGGACACATTTCCAACGTGCTACGAGAAAGTCCGAGCACAGGAAATGTCTGGTGGAAGGAGGTTGGAGAAGGAGATCCTGATATATATGTATATTACCTGGGGATATTATTAAATTGTAGATTCTGATTCAGTAGTTTTGGGATGGATGAGTTTGGGAACCCTGTCTCCCAAAAGGCAAAGAGAGGGTGGGGGTGCTAGGTACGGCTTAACAGGAGCTTCAGATGGAACCAGAGGTAGAACCAACTCCCCTATGGAAGGTCCCTGTAATCCCTTAGACACGCAGCATGACCCCTGGGGTATCTCCCCCCTCCCCCCCCCCGGGTTGAAATCTAACAAGTGGGTTCTTAAACTCCTGGGGTCACAGACCTCTGTGGGAATGATGCAAGCTAGGTACCCTCTTATTCCCCCAAATGCACACACACTCCTAATTCAGCAAATGGCTTTAGGTCTCGCAGCCGGGATGCAGAACTTCTGCCCGCCCACCTCCCGTTGCGGGTCGCACCCGCGACCTGGGCGGTTCCAGGGCTCAGCATCTGGCGCGGCTTCGCGTCGGCCCAGTCGTGCGAGAGGGGCGTGGCCTCCGCGGGCGGGGGCGGGGCCAAGGCGGAGGCCGCGCCCCTCGCCGAGAAGAGGCCGAGCTTGCTGCATTGCAGCCGCCGCGGCGCCGCTCGGCTCCTCACTCCCAACAATGGCGGCTCCGAGCCCGAGCGGCGGCGGCGGCTCCGGGGGCGGCAGCGGCAGCGGCTCCCCGGGCCCCCTGGGGTCCCCGGCGCCGGGCCACCCGGCCGTCAGCAGCATGCAGGGTAAGGAGCGCGGCCGCGCCGAGACCCCGGCTCCCCCGGCGCGGCCGGCGGCGGCGGCGCGGCCTGTCGCCCCGCGCGGACGCCCCCCGACCCCGCAGGGGCAGCCCTGGGGGGAGTCGCCGCGCCGGCCCCCGCCCGCCCACCCGCCCCCACGGCTTCCCGCGCCGGGCTTGCCGCTTCGACTCGGCCCGGACCCGGCTGGGGCTCGCGCAGGCCCCGGCGGCCGCGGCCTCCGCCCGAGCTCGGCCCTGGGCCTGCCCGCCGCCCCCGCGGTCCCCGGCCCACCTGGCGGGAGCGCCCCGCGCGGCGGCGGCTCACCTGGAGGGGGCGCCCCGCCCGCCGCCCCGGACGCGGGCTCGGGCGGCGGGGGCGGCGGGGCCTGGCTCGGCTCCCGGGGCGCCCAGGTAGGCGGCGGCGGCGGCGTCCCTGCCCGCGCCCTCGGCCCTCGGCCCTCAGCCCGCTCCCTCGCTCGGTCCCGCCGCCGCCCGGCCCCGCGCAGGGCCATCTTGGTTCCCTGCGGCCACCGCTGCAGCCGGCCCCGGGCTGACCTCCGGGCTTCCGCGGGTCAGTCGGGCGGACCTGCGTTTGCAAACTTGTGCAGGGTCTCTGCGAGCTGCGAGGGGCGGGGGCTGCTCGGGCCTGTGCCACCTGGAAGGTAGGGAGACAGCCATTGGCCTGGGAGCAGCCATGTATTCCGGCCCAGGGATCCCTGTGTGAGCATTGCATGCAGGAAAAAAGAAAAAAAAAAATGGATAGTGGATTCGGTTAATGGAGAGATACAGGAAATAGGAAGGCAGGGGTCAAGGTGGCACTGGGTAGTGTGTGGACTTGGGAGGCAGCCCTCCTAATGAATGGCTTTTCCCACTGGACATGCTGATTAGCTGTGTGTGTCTCTTGACAGCGGGGTCCTGTGGAAATAAATACCAGGCCCCAGCCCAGGAGGGACCATTTCCTTGAGTTTACAGGGGGAATTTTCGAGGAGCGATGCTATTTTTAAAAGGGAATCTCAGAAATCTCCAGACAACTTGAGCCCACGGCTTAGCTAAATCATTAGCAGAATCAGTTGGAGTGCTCTTGGTCCTGTGACCATAGTTATTTGTTGATTAAAAGCTCCCTGAAGGGCCCCTGCTGGATCTCTCACAACTGTGTGTCTAGTTAAGTTCAGCATTTATTGAATATTTCATGTTTATGAGAACCTGTGTGATTCAGGCAGAGACAGGGTGATACTCATTTTTATGATCCTGTCACCTTCCCCATGAGGTGATTTTAATATACATCAAGAACAGCGATAGATATAGAGAGAGGATGATGTCAGAGCTTAGGGCACCTTCTGTGCAGGCCCTCAGGTAATTAGTTCAGATTGAATTAGTTATTGGATGCTGCTGTGTTTGGGTTTCCTGATCTGACAGCTTTTCAGTCTAAGTTGTTGGTGGGAGATGAAACAGCAAAAACAATTTAGGGTTGTATTGCTTATCCAAAATGGGTGACATAAAATAATGTTTTTTTGGGGGGATGGTGGTTTTTTTTTTTTTTGGGGGGGGGTGCGGGGGGAGTAAGGAGGTTGACCTGCCTTATGTTGGAGAAGAGAGTTGCAATTCTCAGCAGAAAGAACCATTTGTGTGAGGTTTCCAAAGTGGGAAAGAGCTTGGAAGAGTATAGGAATTCAAAGGAAGTCATTGCATTGAGGTATTATTCTGATGCTCTCCATTCTTCCTTCCCCAACTCTGTGTTTGTATACTAGTAAGCTAAACTTTTGAATAAGCTGAACTCACTTTAAAAGGGAGGAGGCTTGAAACTTTTCCTTTAATTATTGATGAATTTTCAGTACTGTGTGTAGGCTTGATTGATTCAGGGACCTGCTATGTCAGTTCTTGATTATTATTACCTCTTGATTATTCAAAATGAAGAGAAGCGCTTGAAATTCTCAGGATGTTGTCTAGCTGAGTTCAGGTTATAAAACATGAGCTTAAGCAGCAATTTAGGATCTTTTTTGTTTGTTTTGTAATATTAAAGCCTACCCTCCAATGCTTCATCTACCAAAGACTTTCAGTTTTAGATCAAACTTCAGAGAGATGGTCCCTAAAAAGATGTTTATTGTTTTGACACCCCCTCTGCACAGTTTGCTTTTATTTGCCACCCAAACATTATTTTCGGGGAGTTGCTATGGAAGACATTTCATATAACAGATATAGAAGGTCCTTTTGTGTGATAAGCACTGCATGGGGCACTGGATAACGAGACACACCCTTTCCCAGCTTGGACCAGACTTGATTGTGATTCAGGAGGGGTCCAGGTGGTCCAGGTTAGGAAGTATTATTTGCTTTTTTTTTTTTTTTTTTTTTAAACACACATATTGTATATTTTTTTGATTTCAGAGAGAGAAAAGGTAAGAGAAATAGAAATATCAATGATGAGACAGAATCATTGACCGGTGGCTGCCTCTTACATGCCCCCATTGGAGATTGAGTCCCAAACCCAAGCATATGACCTAATCGCAAATCATGAACTCCTCCTGGTTTATGGGTCAATGCTCAACCACTTGAGCACACCAGCCAGGCTGGGAAGTATTGTTTTCTTAATATCATAATGCTTAAGAGCCAGAGCTCTGGAGTCCTGGATTTGAATCCCATATCAGACCGTGGGCAAGATATTTAACCTCTTAAAAGCCACAGTTTCTCAATTGGAAAGTAGGATTAATGCTTACCTCACTGGTACTCTGAGAATACATATAAATATAAGCATGGGACTGGCATATAATAAGGGTGCTTGCTAGACATGTTAGCCATCATCGTTAAAAGCAACAATACTTTTATTTATAATGGTCTCTTTCATTATTAATAGACGAGTCCCTAACCGCTCATGATCCACTCACAGTTTCTTCAGCTTCATTATTAATGGGTCCTATCCTCTTCTCTAACCTGTTGATTTCCATTTTTTCCTTATTGAGCATTACCTCTCAGAATATGCTGGATGAACCTTTATTCTACCTGGGTTCAGGTAACTGTTCTGCCATATACAAGCTCTGTGACCGTAGGGAAATTACCCACATTTTCTGAGTTTTCATCTGTTAAAATAGGGATAATACATACCTTATAGGGCTATCATGAGAATCACATTAGAGTAATGCATGTGAAAGTGCTTTGAAAATAGTAAATAAGAATTGTTATCAGAGATAATAACCTGCTTTAGTTACTAGTCACTTGAAGTGTAATATATTTAGAAGATCTTATAAACACAAGAGGTTAAATTTATTATAGAAGAAAAAGCAGGGAAATATAAAACTAACAAATGTCAGTTTTTTAAAACTTGAAAAATTGCTTAGAATCAATAATTGATTCTGAAAAACATGGAGGCATTTGTAAAGTATTTGTTATAGGAAATACAGAATAGGTTGTAGGTGCCTCTGATTCTCTTAATATGCCCGGTTTAAATAGTTATTCTTTTTTTCTTGTTAGGTTTCAGATATAGATGTGTAACAAAACTTATGGACATTTTATAAATGTCAACTGAACATTTTATAAATATCAATTGAAGTAACAATATGATAGTGAGATTATTCTCTTAAAAAACAAAACTTTCAAGTGTAATGAAGCATATCTGCTAAGAAAAAGTGAATATTTAAAGTCAATATGCTTTTTCTTACAATAATATTGGAATATATACAATACGTATGAGATGCCCTATGTGTGATACTGTTGGACTATCCATCATTCAGTCAAACCACAGGAGGGTGTCTTTATCTTAATTTTAAAGAACTGAATTGTGTGGACATTGGTTATACATAGTTCTAAATCCTAGAATTGCCTTTCTCTGTGTTGCATACTATTTATTTTATCATTTATTTGCTATAACCTGATACCAGGTTAGTTCCCTGTGAGAGCACATATTGCATTACTCCAAGGTCCCTTAAAAATGAGAGCAACCCTAGTGTCCAATTTTTTTTTTTTTTCTCATGGATATGCTTATTGATTTTTACAGAGAAAGGAATGGGAGGGAGGGAAAGAGGAAGGGAGAGAAAAAGAGAGCGAAAAACATTGATGTGTGAGTGAAACATGGATCAGCTGCTTCTTGTACTTGCTCCAAGGAGAGATTGAACCAGAAACCTAGGTATGTGCCCTGACGGAATTGAATTCACCATTGTTTGTTGTATGGGACAACCCTGAGCCACTTGGCCAGGGACCTAGTGTTGAAAATTAAAATGTAGAAAAATATGTTGCTTTTAGTATACTTCTTTTATAACATTTCCTTTTAATGTATCTTATCATAGTGAATTGATGCTGAAAGTTGTTGAAGATGGGATATTAGTTAATCCTGTATTTTGAGTCATGTGTTCTTTTTTCATGAAGTCCTTTCCTTTTTGACAGAGTTTTTTTGTTTTTTGTTTTTTTGTTTTTAAATATATTTTATTGATTTTTTACAGAGAGGAAGGGAGAGAGATAGCCAGAAACGTCGATGAGAGAGAAACATAGACCAGCCGCCTCCTGCACACCCCCCACCGGGGATGTGCCTGCAACCAACGTATGTGCCCCTGACCCGAATCGAACCCGGGACCTTTCAGTCCGCAGACGGATGCTCTACCACTGAGCCAAACCGGTTTCGGCAAGTTCTTTCCTTTTTAAAAAACATATTTTTATTGATTTCAGAGAGGAAGGGAGAGAGATGAGAAAGAATCATTGATCGCCTCCCGCCTGCACGGATCAAGCCCGCAACCTGGTTATGTGCCCTTGACCAGAATTGAATCTTGGACCCTTCAGTCCGCAGGCTGACCCTCTTTCCACTGAGCCAAACCGGCTAGGGTATTGTGAAGTTCTCTTTTTAAAATTATGTTTCTTTTACCTAACTTGAGAAGCTGGATTGATTTGGGCCCATAGAATTTTTCTTATTTTTCGGGGTCTGGAAATCATAACTCCATCATGCATAATCCAGGTCAATCTCTTTTTCAGTCTCCCTCTCTGGAAGGTAGAGTCGGCCCAAATGATACAACTTGTAAAACTTTAATT